CCCGGCCTTCGGCGCGGGCGCGAACGACGGGGTCGTCGTGGAGGCCTCGGGCCCCCCGCCCTCGCCCCCGGCGTGGCAGGCCGCCGGGTTCTCCTCCTGGGTGCCCTTGGCGCCCCCGCTGTCCTCGCCGCCGGAGGGGTCGGTCTCGATCGCGTCGGGGCCTTCCGTGCACTTCACCGCGAACGCCGCGGCGCCGGGGCGGGGGCGGGCGGCCCCTCCCGAGGGGGGCGCGAACGCCGTGCGGAGGACTTCCTCCGCCTCGCCGGCGATTCAACTCGCGCCCGGGCCTTTTGCGGTGAATCCGGCTTACTACCGGGAGCGCCTTCACTCGACGGGGGGGCGGTCCGTGGAGGGGGTTGCCGACCCCGCCCCCCCGCCTTGGATGAACGCGGACGACGACTACTTTTACTTCGCTCAGCCCGCAAAGCAGCGGGGGCGGCCAAATTCCCCCTCCGAGCTCATCTCTACACGCAGCGGGCCGACAAATGAGAAGAGCGAACTCGCCCCACAACTCCCGGCCTCGATCTCGGCAGCGGTAGGAACGGTCCTCTACTCCGAGCGGGTGAACGCGCGCATTTCGGATTTTAGCCCATAGTGCGGGAATTTGGGGGCAAAAGATATATCCGCATAACACCAGCCATCATCGTCTCCTAGTATGGAGGGCAGGAAGAAAAAGGGCAAACTTTTTGAATTAATGAATATATAAAATAAATCCTAGTATCATTTGCATCTAGGGCGTGTGACGGATTCATATGGTAATAAAATAATTCCAGAAATCATCCTGATTTGTTTTTTAGGCTTTTCTTTAGACATACCATTTTTAGATTACGTGGGATGCGAAATATAGAGAAAAAATATTTCCTCTTTTTCATTAAAGGAAATGATAGCCGGTACATAATCTAGATTTAGAGAAGTTATAGAAATCATATAGTCTTTTTTTCTTTTTATGGTGAGGAAGGAAAAGGGTGGGAAGGCAATCCTATCCAAACTCAAAATTAAAGAAACAAGCAAACTAAACATATACATGTAAACAATCAATACAAAATAGATAAGACACTTTTTAGATAGACTTAAATAAAAATTATCCATTTTTGAATACACGTCTAAAACGAGGAATAAATGGGAATATGACAAAAGTTGTGTTGAATATTTTATTTTGGTATTTTTTTCGATTATTCTCCATATTTTCCTCTTTTAAAAAATAACAGCTACGTTACCTTTTGAAGAAAGAAAATAAAGTTTCTGTATAGTAAGATGAAAATTGAAAGGAATAAAAACGCTTTGTTTTTGATTTCTAATATTTCATGAAACACCTTATAGAGTCAGACTTGTAATTAAACTATTTAAAGGCTTAAATTATATTATTATTTTTTTTTTTCAATCAGATTTTACATTCTGATTCACCATAGTATTGACTATTTTTTTAAAAAACGAAGGATACCTGTTAGCGCATACAACTAGATAAAATTATTTTCTAGCATTTATTTACATTAAAAAAAAACTAGTAGTTCATGAATTTAGTTTAAAATGATCAACCCACTTCTTGCATGGGACTACAGGGTCCCAAGGAAGTCCGCTTTTTGCTTAGAGGACATGGATATGGTCACCTGCACCGAAAATAATCCATGTGTTTGCAATAACGTTATAGATAGTGTGATGTACAGCACTAATGGCAATATCGCATTACACCAACACAGCGACAATGAAGTAGCACACTCCGAGACGGCGGTGATTCTTCAAGGTGTCGCCAACGCAATGGAACAGGAAAACTTCATTCCATCCTCGACCTCGGCTCCACAATCGCATAGCGGGGATCGAATATGTACCATGTTTTTTGATTGTGTTGTAGATGGGGAGTTTGCTTCCTTGTCGTTGGTTCCATTGCGTAGGTTAAGCCTACGTGATGGGACCTATCGGAGTCTGTGTCGCGATGTAATGAATGCGGACAGATCGCTAGTTTTTGATATTGAATACACGCGTGACGTGGATAGTTCGGATTTAAGTGCGTGGGGTACTCAAATATGGTATAAAAATTTCAGAGTCTTCACACCACCATCCTCGGTGTCGAATTTCAAAGACACCTATTCGGTATCCTCCCTTCTTTCTAAGACGATAGATGGCAACGTCGATTACGCCGACACACGTAACACCTCTGGTACCCTTACAATTTTATCTAAGTCTTACAAAATAGAGATTTATGCGATTCTGACGGTGGAGCTCGACGAGTGGGAGGTGATCGGATCGGAGAAGATGGATGAGCTTTGGCAGCACTCGCTACTCTCGAACATTGTGATTGGTACCACGACCGATGTACAGTGTGTGGTGACGGATAGTAAAATGGCGTCCCACCACCTTTCTTCACGTATCAAGGCGACAGTAGATGATGAATGCGATGACAGCATGACATCGCACTGTATTAACCGCCAGGATGTTTCATATACAATGAATAATGAGTCACGTTCATTCCCGTCGTGCATACATGCGTTCTGTGAAGGCAGTCCCATAAACACCACACACAATAAATTCCCTTGTATCCTTCCCTTTATTTCCTCCAACAAACGCAAACGTTGCTTTGTTGTCGAAAAATGTTTTACCTATTTACTTTCCAGGGATGACATCCCCACGAGCGTGATGTTATCCTTCCAGGCGCAGCATAGAATTAATGCAAAAGGTAACATCAGACGTATTTCCACACCTATTGCCAATATGGCAAGAGAAAACAAGTTATTTATGGATAAACTCTGGTCCACCTGCCATCTGAATCTTGATTTGGAAATTGAGCTTGTTCGAAGCCGCACTAATCTAGGCTTGCTATATGCCGCTTTTCGTCTCCACAGCATCAGTCGAAATCTAACCAATGGCGTTAAGCTATCTGGATGGTCCTGCAAAAGCAATGGGTTTGATTCCAATCTTTCTCAATACATCTACTACGGGATATATTATACTCTTGTTGATCCTAATAGCGCCTTCAACTTACTCAAATTTTTTCATTCCCTGTTGCCCCAGGCATGCCGTCATGCTTCTAAAATGTTTTTCTTCTCCAACGGTGCATTATACCCTAGCCACACGATGAACAAGGGAATCTCAAAATCTTTCTTCGGAATCACCTCCGCTAAACACTACATTAACGCCGAAATCGGGTATCTCATCTATCTTTACCTCCTCGCAGTGGGCAATATTACGACCAATAAGCGTTTGATGTTATTAGAGCTAATGCTGGAGACGGCTTGTGTGTGGCCGAAGCTTGGGAAGTGGTTCTACGGACGTACGGTGTTTCGTTTGGATAACTTTTTTGGTATGGACACGTATAATGACTCCTCTCCGGGAAACTTCTATGTTCATTTTTCAGTGCAGCAACACCTTCGACAGGCGGTTCAGCTCTTCAACGAATCTGAGGAATTAATTGACAAGAAGGCGATCAAAACATTGCTCCAGAAGCTCCATTTGACGCAAGACGACATCAAAGAGATGGCGGAAGCCTCCGAGGCGATATCGATTAAAACCGACCAAAGCGGTGTCTACATGGTGCACGATTATTTTGATTCCCTTTCCCCGTGGAAGGGCGAATGCAAACATCCGCTCCACCTGAACTACCACCCCCTTTCAATCTATCACCGAAAAGTTGTGAACGTGCCGGATGTGCTGCTTGCCATGTTTATGTACCACGAGCAGTTCGAGACCTTTCAATTCGAGCGCAACCTATCCTATTACTCCCCTCTCTGCACCTTTGACTCGCCCGAATCCTTAGCGTTGGTGGCTATTGCGCAGTGCCGTGCGAGGGGCAATTTAGCCCGCCCCATCCCGCTCTTGCGCTCTCTACTCCACCTGGATCTCGACAACATTATCTTTTCGGACCAGGAAGGCCTCCACTTCGGCGCGATGGCGGCCGCGCTGCTGTGTTTTATCTGCGGCATCGGCAGGGTGGAGATCACGCGCCAGGGCCTGCGCCTGAACCCGATCCTTCCCGCCTGCACACGAGAGTACTCCTTCGTCGTGCACTGGCGGGGGGCCACCCTGAAGACGTCCTTGAATGCCGAGGTGCTGACCTACGAGCTCCTGGCAGGGGAGAGCGTGCGCTTTATTCATGGCCCGACGAAGAATCGAATCCACCTACACACCGGCTTCCGACAATGCCAAGCGACGCTGCGGTTGAGCATTCCGCGTGTGAGTCAAAGCCCAATGGCGAGCCTGGAGGGGGCGGTTTTTCTGCCAGAGTCGTTGTTTGAGAACTTCTACGAGTTGAGCTACCTCGCCTGGTATCGGATCTTCGAGAACTTCTTTGAGAACTATCGTACGTTGCACCATCTGAATATTCCACCTTTGAGCCCGAGCGAATTCATCGAAAAGATTCTTTATCAGCCCGAAGATAAGGAAATATCCCATATTGGTGTCAGTAATGTTTTACACGATCGTGGAATAGTACTCGACCTCGGTTCGCCTAGCGATGCGGAGATTGTGGAGACGGTTTTTGGTCTGGCAAACGCCAAAGTAGCCGAGATGTCTGAGCTTCTGGAGAAGTCAGCTCCCCCTCTCAATAACAATCTTATTCGATTAATTCAAGGGTTTTCGCAGAATGGCATGGCTACGTGCATTGCGACGTACAGCAGATCTTTCAGGAGGCTCATGGAGCAGCGAGTGGAGCTCTCAAATTTCTTTATTGCTTACGTTGATGGTGAGGAGGTCCAAGACCAGGGCATTAAAGGGCCTCCGCATCTCGATTTATTTTTTTTTGCGGCCAAAAAAATTCACGTAAATCCTAACAGATGTATTGTGTTCGCAACTCACCTAGATCGAGGTTATAATGCGGAGGAAATGGCTAAATTTCGAATGTTCTTAGATGTTGAAGACCCATTTGCCAGCAGTCGTGTACCGCAGCAACCATATCCCACGCTTAGTGAGGCCTATATGGGTGAGCATCAGCGCCAGAACCCTGTGGTGCGTCGGTTGACGTACAAAGACATACCCAAAACAATCGATGAGCTGGAGGACCTTATAGATGGATGCACAATGGAGAACTTTTTTGAAGCATAAAAGACACAACTATTGAAATGCATTTACTGAAGTGATCACTCTAATGTTTTTGTTTATATGAACATTTTAATCTCTTTATTTGGTTTTTGTTTTAAGTTAGCTTATTTAACGACATGTCTTCATAAATTAGCCAGTATTCTGGAATGGTATTTTTTTTTGCCAGATTCCTACTTTACTGTTTAGTCGATTTACTCTTTGTGCGAACATTTTTTATATTTGAAGCGATAACGTGTGCTGTAAAAAACCTTGTTGACAATAAACCTTTAAGAGGGTTATTTGATAAAAGTGAAACACTTTAAAATAATTATACAGGTGCGTTTTATTATATTGAGATTTTCCTTCTTTACTCTATTTTACATTTGATTCTAAATCTATTTTGATATTTTTCCAAATCTCAATCCACTGTACGAAGAAAAAATGATTGGTAAACGTTTGAATCCCAAGGGAAAAGTTTCTTAGAACTAAACGAGGTAAAATAACTTCGTTCGATTATTTTAGTTTATCGTCTCTTCTGAATGCTTCTTGAGGGTGTGTATTTAAGTTTCTTATTATTTTTGCCGACAGTAGAATAGTGTTACCTATATTCTTATACTTTGTTCTTCATTACCCAACTTCGTAGCGCGATGGGCCTCCAGATAAGCAATTTTATGTACCTCCTCCTCATCTTATCACTCCTAAAATCTATCAAGCCCTACTTCGCCCATTCATTCGCCGCATTTCCATTTTCAAGCATTTTTATAGGTCTTGTTCTGCTTTTTATAGTTACGCTCGCCGCACACACACTTTGCGCGGATACGGTTATGCGGCTCTATCGATATCGTCATCTGAATCGCAAGGTCAACCTCACTTCGGTGGATAAAGCTGCCTTGGCTTCGCAATGGCATACCGTCTTGGTACCATCATCCTACGAGGCATTCTGCCGAGTTAATATTACGGCGAGCACCGTTTACGCTTCGGCAATCTTTTGCTTGGTAATTTTTTTTTTTCACCGAACTCAATGCGCGTATTACCTCTACATCAGGCCAATTCTACGAGACATCGCTCGGATTGAAGAAAAGGTTTGGGTTGACTTCGATGATTGGAGGGATAAGCAAATCCCCAAAAGTTGAAAACTCTGAGGGATGGGTGATAAAAGGAAAGGAAAGGCTTTTAGGGGGTACATTTTCTTCTCTTTCATCAGATTCATTCGCTGAATGTCATATCACATATCAACATGGATTTATTATGATGATGCATGCACTATGCTATGTTCCTACGAGGGAGAATAGTCTGGAGCAATTCGAATTATAGTTGTCGCACTCTTTCCCCTTTTTTCCTGTCAAAACTTTGCCTTTATTTTGTGTGCCGTTGCCAATTCCCTGAATTGTAGCGAAAAAATGGAGAGGATCCCAGACTCTTGGGTTTCCATCATAAACTGAGGGTTCTGAATACTGTAGTCCCAATAAAATAACTGGCTTTGGTTTGGAAGCTTAGTATATCTTAATAACAAAAGGGAGGTTGTTCTTATTTTTTATATTCCTCATTTTTAAATCCACAACACCATCGCATTAGTGTTGATTTTGTTGAGTTAAGCTCATTCTTTTATTTTGTACACACACACACACACATGTATTCATGTCAACCATACACTCTGTTCTGAATGTAACACGTCAGCAAAGGGAGCTATCTAAAAAAAAAGCTATATTTTACCGTAAGATATATAAACTATATGTTGAAATCATCTCGAGGTCTTCTATTTAAAATAAGTAAAAATAGACATGACCAATCACAAAATCTGCACAAACACATTTATTCATGATTTATTGTTGCTATTACTGTTATTGAGAAAATTGTACTATGCAGGGCTAAAGAAAGGCAAACTTACAAAATACCCCTGCATGAAGTCATTTATTTTAAATTCTTTAAGCTGTATCTTTAGTCCTAAAGTACTCACAACGCGTGAAATTATTATCCACCGTTTCAATACTCTTAGAAATTACTCTACGTTTTTCAAAGAGTGGGCTAAGGACTATCAACCTTCGTGCTCTGTATTTCGTTCTGCCAAATTTATCACAAATCGGTATAGCAATAAGGCAAAGAGTTTTCTTCTGTATCGTAGGCCACACATTTCATCATCTTGTATTGATTATCGATTAGCTTTGAAGGCTTTAAGCTGTTTTCGTGTTAAGTCTAGTTTCCGTAGAAAGTCATCTTTTTTGAATTCTAACACTCATCTACCGACTCTGAGAAAAACCGCACGCCTGTCTAGTGAACACTCCAATCCAAGCGCTTCAGCTCAACCTTCCTCATCAGATTTAAAGATAACTGACCAAGTATTGGATTTTAAGGAATTCAAAGTGAATAACAACCGGGCAGCAAAGCAAAGAAGTACTAAGAGTAAGAACGTTATCGACGTGAAATTCGCCTCAAAAAATAGTAAAACTGAAAGTGATCAAATACCTACTAAAAGCAGCAAGCGGATGGCTCTAAAAGTTGCGCAGCTGCCCAAGGAGCCCAATATAATTATGGTATTGCACACACCAAACAGCCGCATTCTAACTTTGAATATATGCCTGCGTAAAGCAGATGAAGTGGGTGGGTTGTTGACGAAAAGTATGGCTCGAGATCAAAACGAGGCGGCCAGCAAAGTGTTGGACCGCATTCGCATGCTTTACACCTCTGACAAAACTAAAGTGTCCAAAGGCCGACCGCACCAGCGAGAAGACATCCTGAATGATTGCCCCCAAATCACCGTGATGGGTATTGGATTGCCGGATAAGCTCCCCAAATCGTCTTCATTGTTAACCGCAGGTCAGGAGGCTATATCTGATCTTAACAATGATGTATCTCATTGTACTTTGGTAGAATTGGATACTGCAATGCCAAACCATCTCTTCTGGAAACATGCCCGTCTTATTAAGCTAGGTGGGGAGGATCTGACAGTTAAGTACAACGTGCCTACAATCACATCTTTAGAGGTGCCTAGAAAATGTTGGGTAGGGTTGCCCATGATGTGCACTAATATTGAGGCTATGTTTGTACAAAATAATGAATTGAATTATGAATGGTGTATATGCCAGTCAGATGCACAAAATCATCAAGATAATGATTTGAAGGAGGGTTCCGAAAAAGCTGTGGACCATGTTCATGTGCTGTCCACTGATCCAGTTTTTATCCCTACAGAAGATCTTCTCGGCAAAACCATCCTCTTACGAGTGAGCCCCAACAAAAGTGGTCTTTGGACTCAAGTAGAGATTTCGCCAGTTCAAGAGCCTCCCCCTTCGATGGCGAGATGGGAGCAGACAACTCAGTATGTATCATCTCCGTCTTTTCGTGTCGTGACCTATAATATCCTACATGACGACTATTGCACGTCGAAGTACTCCAAAACACACATCTATCCTTTTGCGACGGACGAAATGCTGGACATCGAAAATCGAAAGATGCGTATCTTGCAGGAATTGTTGATGTACCACTCAGATTTGATCTGTTTACAGGAATGTGGTCAGAAGCTCTTCAAGGGGTTTTTAGAGCCCGCGTTAAGGGCCTGTGGCTATGGCGCATATTATAGGAATAAGACCGGTAATTCGCAGGAAGGGTGTGCTCTATTCTATCGAGAAGTGCGTTTCGAGTTTTTGGAGGCGCAGACCTTTCCGTTAAACTGGGAGGGCCTAACCCAAGACCATCCCCGCTTAGCGGCCCAGCTGGGCGCCCATCCTGAGTTTCAGGAGGCCTGCGAAAAAATCACCTCCATCGGAGTCGGGGTCCTACTAAAGGAGGTTCCCACAGGGCAGGAGGTGGTCCTGGGCAGCACCCACCTTTTCTACCACCCCAACGCCTGTCACATTCGCGTCCTGCAGGCCTACCTGCTGCTCCACCGGCTCCACCGGATGGCGACGGCGGTGGGCCCAGACCCCCTCCCCCTTCGGCCTGTGGTGCTCTGCGGGGACTTCAACTTCACCCATGACACAGGGGGCTACGACCTCGTGACCGCCGCCCGCGTCGCGGCAACCCACGTCTCATGGGAGAAGGGCCGACTGTTCTGGTGGGGATGCGACCGGCTGCTGAGCTGGACGGAGGAGGAGCGCCTCGCGGTCAGCCCCAACACACAGACCGCCGCCCTCACGGGGGACCTGACGGATCGACCAAACCGCCTCGCGAAGGCGGCACTCGGGGAGGATAAGTCAAACGAAAAAGGAGAAATACGTAAGGTTTCAGCGGACGTGAGACAACCGCTCGAGGTTTTTTTTAAAGATGACCTGCATTCCCCATTCGCGCTGGTGGACGCCTATGCCCAAACAGACCCTTCGATGCCATGGACTAATTACACTCTCACTTTTCGCGAAGTCATTGACTACATCTTCTTCTCTTCGGACAGCATCGATGTGATACAAACAGTATCTATTCCACCGGAGTCTGATTTATCTGAAAATCATGCAATACCGAATGCTAAATATCCTTCTGATCATTTGGCACTTATTGCCGATTTAATTTTGAAGCAGTAACTCCTTAACGAACGAAAATTCATCTATGCATTTATCCACGTTCCATTTACATAAGGACATTATATATATTTGCTTGTTCGTTAAGCATAGATGGAGGATGGTTTCTATTTTAGTATATTCCTGGGTTTGTGTCAGGAATTTTAATGAAATGCTGTTTATCTTAACTACGGTTTTATTCTTTCATGATGAATTATAAGAAATATTAAGAAACATATTATTTTCCACTCTTTCTGAACTACGGTCTCAAAAAAAATAGAGCATTAACAATTAAAAGCAACAAAAGCCTCACGGACTTTAGAATGGTACAACATTTTACAATTTATATGCTCAAAATGTGGTAAACGTTTCTTTCAAAATTTGTCTGGTACTTCAATATATACTTTCTTCTTTTACTTATATCACAAGCTGTAGATTCACGAAATCGCACCCACGGTGTGTCTTTAAAGATGGATCTTTTCAAGCGGGCATCATTTCGCCATGGTGAAGGCACTATCGTTACGTGTAATGACGTCTCCATTGTACAACCAGACAGGCCCATGTCGACATTTCAGTTAGCTGTACCGCCGATTCAAAGAAAGGAAACATCTGAAATTTTAAATTCAGAAGTTAATAATGTAGATGGGGAGAGACAAACAAAAGATTCTTATCGATTCTACCCAAATGTTCCATACTATGGGCTGCTACAAGGTATTGATGTGCATATTGATATTGATAGTGCGGCAACTTCGTCATCTACCGCTTCCTCATCGTTGAACCCATCCAACATGGCAGGATGTATTTCACAACTGCACGACACTTTGTGTGATGCAGTGAACCGTTATGGAGACTTTTACTACACAGGGAATTCTCTCCTACCTTTGTTTGATGCCACACCAGCAAGTGCGATGGCTCTCAGTACAACTACACAGTCCTCTTCGGCCGCGGTGGGGACATCGGCCGGTACCTTCTCGGGCCCTTTTATTGTCTACGAAGTCTATCTGCACGCCCTTATAGAGCTCTTCCAGGGCATGTCGCGAGTTCGCGACCGCTGCTGCGCCCCGGATCCGACGTCGACCTCGGATTCGGATGGGGGCCCCAGCAAGGCTCTGCCGGGTGGTCCCGTTCTACATACCCACCATGTTGTTTACCTCCGCATCGCCAACCACCCCTCTTTGAAGGATGTCAACGTTATGCTGGCTATTGAGAGGGGTCGCATGGTGCTTTTTGTGAGTACGTCCTCCCGCATGACCCGGGCCTATCTTTCCGCGCAGGCCCAAAAGGTGCTGCTGGAGCTTCGATGGGTCTCCGGGGCCGTCCTGGTTTGGGAGCCAGACCAGCTGCGACTTGGTGAGGTCAACCCCGTCTTTGCGCTCTGGGACGTGCTCGTGAACACACCCTTGATGGCCTCAGTGGGTCTGGCAGACGCGGGGTCTGTGGAGTCCCCCGGGCCTGCGGATGCCGTGCAGGAGGTGCTTTCCCGCGTGATGCCTTTGACGGGGCGAGTGGTGGAAGGGTTTGGCTGGATCGTGTTATCCTCCCTGCCCTTTTCCGGCGCTCAGCAGTGCAGGCCGACGCTGCGGCTGCAGGACCCCGTGGCGTTGCGAGTCGCCCGTGCCCCCAACGCCCTGGGGAATCCGATCATGGGCCGCCGGTATGGCTGGAGGCTGGTTGGTCCTTTCCGGAACGTCGTCTTGCCCCACCTCTTTACCCATATCTCGCAATGTCTTGTAAATTTCGAGCACGACGGTCATCGCCTACGCAGTTTTACCGTAAGAACGCAAAGTGGGGCCCAGGAGGAGTACGGCGAGCATCGCAACCCCCAAAGCCGCACGGGACCGGAGAGTGGTGGGGTGACCGGGTTATCCTACATCCGCTCCGAGCGCAGCGGGCTGACCACACGGCGAGGTCCGAGCTCGCAGTCGTGGATGGGGTTCAGTCGTCTTAGTGGGAACGACTGGCTCAGCGATGAGGAGCGGGAACAACTAGGATTGCTTGTGGTGGAAAATGAGGAAGAAGTGGCACTGGAATGTGAGTTTTCATTGGCGGAGATTCGCTATTGCAACATGGCGGCTAATGACAACGCAGCAGAGAAAAGAAAAGGTCAGCTTCGCAAACGACCTCGTTCTCCTCTTCTTTTGCAAGACAGTATGGAGAATACGATGAGCAGGTGTTCTTTATCGGGTTTTGCTCATGGGGCGGCTAATTTATTTAGCGTCGATAACCCTGAGGATTGGGGCCAGTGCTTTGATTGGAATATTTCTGTTACACGTCTGTTAGATTATACAGACAGTGAAAGTGACATGGATGGCTGAAGATGCAATGCGATTGCATTTCCTTTTTAGACAAATTTTTACTAAGGAAAATCTTAGTAAACTGGCTCACGCTTTGATTGGTTCTGATTTAGAGATATATTAGATAACTCATCTAGACCCTTTGCTTTACTTTTCACTTTGCTCCTATCATGTTCCTTGTGAATATTAATATTAACTTTGCATTTTTAAATGCATTGCTATTGCTACTAAAAAAAAAAAGGTTCCTCTCACAATTTAAATCCTGCTTCTAAGTAATATTAGATAAATTAATTCAACCGATAATAGGGTTTCTGATATTATACCCATTTTTGCATTTGTGAGTATACCCCTTTAATCTTCTCATCTATCCCTACCTTCCCTCTTAATTTAAAAATAAATCAGTACTAACAGAACAATTATATATTTAGGATGGAAAATTTCACTCTAAATGCGCTTTATAGAAACTTAGTTCTGGTGCTGCTTCTATTTAATCCCTTCGTAGCTCATCATGCTACTGCAAAGACCATCGTTGTTCTGGATGTGGACGGCATGCCAAATAATTATGCTGCGCTCACGACTCTCTTAAAGCATCCCGAGTTTGAAAATAACCTACAACTCGTGACTGTGAGCGGGGCAACCTACGGCTACGCGTCCACAGTTGTGCAGAATTTTTGCAATTTTTTATCATTCGCAGGGCACCCCTTGGTTACCGTAGCAATGGGCCAGGTATCCGCTTTGGAGGATGTCTACAATACCAAAACACAAACCGGCGATTGTATACATAAACAAGGCTTCCCAGCCACACCGCATGACGCCTTATTGCGTGGAATGATGTACTCCAAGGCTGACGTTACCTCAGCCTTTGGGCAGACTTATCGACTTCCATTCACCGCGCTGAGGTCGGAAAGGTGCGTGTATTCAATCGGTAGTGCTACCAAAAGATTTTTAAAACTTCTTGGACAAAGCACTGATAAAGATAAAATTGCTTACTTACAGCTTGGGAGTAGCACAAACCTCGCAGAAATTTTGGATGCCCTAGAAAGCTCTAAGGATTTGAGCTCTCTATTTGATACCATTGTACAAGTTCATGCGTTTGAAACAGGGTATAATGGTGGTGCCGATGAAAAGGCCATCAGTAAGTTGTTGAATGCTAACCGTTTTACGTTATACTTATACACACCTGTCTTCTATGCTCCATCTCTTACCTTCAATGACAGTACATGGGGCCTATTCGAAACAATTACTCAGGGTGAATCGTCCTCTAAGGTTGGCAGATGGCTGTTTCAAGTGCTAGGTGCAAAAAAAAAGCATTTTCAACTTAATGGAGGCAGTCCGACGGATTTCTACAATGAATATGACCTTGCTAGTAGCTTAATGATTTTATGTATTATGGATGAGACAATAGGGAATCTTTGTAAGTACTACCGCGATACGGTATCGGGCATTTGGTTTGCCTATGTTCTTCCCGATGACATGAAAGGTTATCTGCCGTTACATATTTCTGGAAATAATGTGACGATGCCATTTTACTATAACATCAAAACTGCAACCAAAGAAACCGATATTTCCGATACAGTTGGGGACGTAACCTTGAACATTTATGACAAATCAGTATCTACAAAATTTCCCGAACAAGACTTTAATTTAGTTGATAAGTTTTGGGAAGTATGGCTGAACCTAATGAAATCATAGAGTTACTTTATTAAGCCAACATCCCTTTTCTCTATGAGTTATTATTTGATATTTTAATTAGACCGTTATAAATATTGAATAAAAATATCGAAAATGCCGACTAGTTAAAATATTCATTTTTTTTAGTGATGTGAACCCATCAAGTTGTTTTTTATTAATTTGAGCGAATTTGATGTGGTCCGGTGCTTTCGCATGCAAAAGTTGCATTTTTCTTGTTACTCTGTGAAACAACAGAAAAAAAATTGAGATCATAGCAGGATACTAGCCTTTTAAAACGATTTTTATACGCCCATAAAAGTCTATACGCGTATAAACCGTGCCTTAAACAACTATTTGGCTGTATAAACAAGAGATTAATACCTCTTTTTTTTATGCTTCACATCATTTTTTTTTCTTGTATTTAATAGAAAGTCCCCCTAAAATAACTTCATTTAGATTTACATGATATATATCTAATTCATATTAATTCCCGAGCAGTTGATTCTATTGTAGTCGCGACTACATAGTTTACACTGGGGTGGCTTGCCGATTGGTGATTGTTTTGCAGGCGGTTATTGACAATAGCTCTCTGTTTTGTATTAAATATGGCAGCCTTCTTTTTAAATCAGCTCGTATGCACGACTCCCGCCAAGGCTAATGGAAACTATAAAGAAGTTTCACCAGTTTCTGCATTTTTTTGACAGAAGATTCTATCTTGGGGTTTTTGACTTTTGGTCATGAATCTATCCCTTTAATAACAAAAAATAATAGTGTAGTACAGAGTCTCAAAACAGACATAGAGAAGTTGACCACAGCCTTTCGGGTAAACTGTTAAAGTTGACGTATGAGTAGATTATAGTCAAGTATCATGGATCGGTTTTAGATATAAAAATGAAGACTCCGGAAGACGGTATGTCAAGCCATCAAAACAGTGATCGTTTTCGTTTATATTCTTCCTGCAGAATACCCAAAAGAGTGGACGTTTTACCCAAATTCATCTTTTGTATCATTTAATGTATACATATACCTTGCGAGTTGCTAACTCTGTGCTTATTATTGTGTTTTTGTTGTTGTTGTTTTGTAACTTTAGTCCTATTTCTGCCACGCACTTAAACATTGTGTCTTTTTTCATTGACTCTAGAAGTCACACCTATATTTTACGTTCATTCATGCCTATTAGCTGGTTATTATTTCTTATTAAAAATATGATACTTGATGTATTTTCAATGGTATTATTCTAAGAAATAAGTATTTCCCCTTTTTATTATCATTAACATAGATAGTATTATTATTATTAGGTGTGGTATTTTGAATTACTAACGTGTCTCATATATTTTTATACTCTAATTGTGCCAAAATGGTCTGGAAATTGAAAAGTCAATTACAAGCAAAATTTTTTATCTTCATCTTATTGATTCTGCAACTCTCGACTCATGTTCACTCCTTCCCCTTCGACAAGGCATCTGGTGTGATGGAACTTTCGCCTGATACCATATTTAAATTTTCAAATTCCCATAAACCCACTGTGATTTTATTTTATGCATCTTGGTGCGGTCACTGTAGGAGTTTTCATGATGAATATAAAAAATTTGCGGATGCGGTCAAGGGTTCAATACGTGTTGGCGCTATAGATGCCCACACGCACAAATCTATCGCTCAGCAGTTTTCGATTCAGGGCTTCCCGACGATCAAGTACTGGAAGATGGGGAATAAGTCGATATATACCCCTCATGAGTACCGGGGACCTCGCATGGCTGCGTCCTTGATGTCGCTTATGATTAACGATATCCAATCTGATCATGTGGCGCAATCCGTTCGTACACCAGAGGATATCTTAGATCTGAATCAGAAATCACACAGTGGGAAGGTGGCCGTTCTTTTTTCATCGAAAAAAAAGGTTCCCCCCATCTTTTCCATCTTGTCTATTTCACCTCGGCTGCAAAATATGACATTTGTGTTTGTTCATGATAAAGACGCTAAGATTGGTTCAAAGTTCGGAATCACGAAAATCCCGTCGTTGGCTGTGATGGATAAGTCCCCTGCAGGCCAGGAAGATCCCGCACTGCCCGTCAAGACGGCGGTGTACCCTTCCGGGAACTTCTCCTACGAGGCCATGGCAAAGTTTGTGTTGTTTTGTCTTCAGCATGACAGCGCGAGCTGGGTTTGAGTTCCCCCCACTCAAGCCTCGATCACGTCGTTCATTGCTAAACCCATTAAGGACGACTTCTTCACGGACTTGTCAAAGATTTTGAAGGCAGGTCTTTTGGAATGAGATTCGTTTGAAGGCTGTGCGATATCTTGACCATGTGCATATACCTACTTTCTTAACAAGTCTTTGTTTTTTTCTATTTGACGCCTCTAAGAGAGTAAATAAGCCGTAGGAGGCCCTGAACGCGGTATCTTCCCGTGCGAGTGAAGAAGTTTTCAGAATTCAGGAGGTAGCAAAAGTGAGACCTCAACTATATTGCTTTGACGCCAAACCAAGCCAAGAACTGTTCGTTACTAAGCCTTTTCAGACATTAAGAATGCTCACGATCTGAACGATTTATTGCAACGTATTGTCAACAGTGGCCTCTATAATTAAAAAAAAATTATTATTGACAGTAGCTCAGTCGTTCATTTTGTGACTCATTCCTAAATCTATTTGTAAATTCATTTTATTGTTTGGATGATTCTAAACTCATATTATTTATGTACCGAAATGGAAACATATTTGAATCGTTCGGAAACTTTTAAAATTATTCCTTTTCTTTGGTATGCATCTTCTATATTTTTATGTTGCTCTCAAAACTCATATTCCAAATGTATTACATATTTGTCTCTCTCTTTTTTTCCACTCTCAATAACAAAAAAGTTCAGATATGTTTGCGAATTTGTTCACATAGAGTGCCACAGCAATCTTCTCATAAGGACAAAACAGAGAAACAAACAAATAACTTTGTCAGATCTTCAACCGCAGATCCATCCACACCCTATCCCATATCCAACTTTTGGGAACACAAAAGCCGAAATTCCTCCCCAAAACCGCGCATACTTGGCTCAAGAGTGTGGTATTAGCGAAATGCACATACACAAGTATCTCGGTTAATAAAAGATAAGAAATCATGTTTTATTATTGGATAGTGGATAAACATATACTTTTATAAAATTTGCAAAATTTTTCAAAAAATGCCGTTCAGAGTGTGATAGCAAAACGGCACTGATAATTTGGCCCATTTTTAGGAGTCCCTACGTGTAATTTAAAGGGGATTTTTTCCTCAATGTACACTTTCCACAAATCAAGTTTCTACCCCCTCTTCCCCTGCAGTGTGGTTCTGCAATTTAAAGTAAACATTTACAAAATTATTTTAATCCCAACAATAAAGTGATATGGGTTTGTAGTATTTAATTTTGATAGACTTTCCTGTTTGAATATAAGAGGGAAAAAATAAATTAGTTGACTATGGGAATTGGTAACTCCAATTACTTTAGACCATGTAATAAAGTAGATGTTAGCAATAATATTGAACATAAGATTTCCGAAAGTTCTACATCCAAATCCAACTCAGAACGAAAAGTGAAATCGTCAATAAAATTAGGTTTCAGCACTTCCCGTTCAAAGCGTATAAGGTCGTCCTTAAAAACTACCAGGGCCACTATGTTGCCGTCACCCGACAATGGATTCAAATTATCCATCAGCAGTGAATACTACACGTCCCGTTCTGAACTCCCTTCTCCGGAATACCTCATTTCGACAGTTCATGGGAATCATCATAAGCCTATTAGGCTTGGCTCAATGGAGAAGTCAAAGCCTGATCTTCAAAGTTTAGAGGGCGCGACCCTCTCCGCGGGACTTTCTCGGCGAGCGCAAAACATCGTAAAGCGGGTCGAGGGAATTCTAAGCCGGTGCAAGGACTCCGCGAAGGGTGCGGAGGTCGAACACGCCAACCCATCGGAGGCTTGCACCACCCTCCAGTCCAGTTTGGCGTACCCTTCCAAGGACGATATCGCGATGTACGAGATGTTTGCCTTATTGCATAGTAGTAGAATTGGTAGCTTTTATGCAAAACACCTGGAGTTGCTGCTGTCGAACCGCTCGGCGGTTTTTACCACTCCTGATTTCCCGCTGGATTGGAACACGGTGGGGTATCAAATGGGCAGTGTATTCACTCCAGGGACCATCGGACGAAGTTATCTTGCGGTAAAAGACTTTCCTTCTAAGGATTCATCGTCTATTCTGGTTAAAAAGAACTCTCGATTTAGTGATAGAGTACGTTCAAGGGATACGCTGAAATCCATTCAAGATTCCCGTTACGTTTTGAAGGTAGTGAATTTTGTGCTCCGGAAGGAGATTGTTGATGCAGTTGTTTTAGAACAACAATTTTTAAAGAATACGACTTGTGATAACATTCTCGCGATATTTGATGTATTGTGTGATGAATACAAAGAGAATGTGATTATCGTATCAGAATTTCAACCGAGTGGGAATGTAGCCTCTTACGCGGGAAAGCTAGATTCTTTGCCTGATAAGCTACTCCGTATTATTAATGATGTGGCCCTCGGGCTGCGTTTTTTGAACTTCAGCAACATTTATCATCATAATTTAAAGCTTGAAAACGTTCTGGAGATGCCCAATGAACGCTATTGTATAGCCGATGCTGGGTTTGTCTCCTTATTTACCTCGCAGTGTCCAGAGGCGCTTGTGTTTAACGGGGAGTTAGGATGCCTCGCGCCTGAGATGTTCAATGAAGATGGACCATACGCGGATGATTCGGTGTATATGTCAAGCCTTTCTCTGGGAAAGGTCGACACTTGGGGGTTTGGGGTCTTTATGTACACCCTTGCCTATGGTAATAAACCGCTTTCTATCGTGGATTGTGATTATAATGCGGTGAAGGAATGCCTCCTTACAAGCGTCCTTAGCTTTCCTAAGAAACCCTGGTCCTTTGAGGCGGACCTTATCAAAGTCATTTCGCTATGCCTCACGAGGGACGCGGCAAGTCGACCGGATATCGAAGAGCTCTTTCGCATGCCTTTCTTTATCAATAACAATTTTAGCAGTGGGGAGCAGGGTACTTCTCCATTGATAAAAGGCCCCTCATTTAGCCGATTTCGCAGTAGCGCCATGCTGAGGGGCTTTTCGAGCATGCCGAGTATCACCCATTTCTATCAAAAGAGTGGCTACACGGTAGATCGAGTTCTTGGCCGAGGTTCCTTCTCTGAGACCTTTCTAGTTCATCTACGACGAAACACCAGCAAATATTTTGCCTTGAAAGCGATCCAGAGGTCCATACACAAGATTATCCAGGAAGATGTGAACGAAGCCGGCAGAGAACTTATCCTACGACAGCTAGCGACATGTAAAAAGATCACCCATCCTAACCTTGTTCAATATCTCAGCATCGTTGACAACAAAAAAGGCAGCTGCTTTGTTATACAGGATTATATTGAAGGGGAAACGCTGACGGTCATGCTTTCCTCCACTGATGCCAAGCCCAATTCTCCTAACGAACGCAATTGCTTGTGTATCCACATCTGCAATGATGGGCTCATGGATGAAGGCATCAACAAGATAAGTTTTCAAAAAATTCTAGCTGATGTGCTATGTGGAATTGTTTGCCTTCATGACAATGGTATTCCGCACCTGAGCTTGCGTCCTTCAAATATTCTCTATGATGTTGAGACGAAAAAGTTTATGTTAACCGATTATGGTCCACTATTTTTCAACCTGGATGAGAACTTAAAGAACCGCTTACAAGGCAAGTCATTCTATCACCTTCCATCTTGGGTTTTAAAATCGGAATCGGATGATCCATTTATGTTGGATACTTTCTGTGTTGGGCTTCTTGCTGCGTCAATCGTGCCAAAGGTATTCACCAAGGTGTGGCCTCAGATCTACTGTTCTGAAGAGAGGCCACCTTTATCAGTCGACGGCATCCTGAACGAAATTTCCTCCGATAAGTCTCTGCCAAATGATTTAATTAGTTTTATTCGCGATGCGCTGTGTAATCGCAGGACCGCGAGGCAGCTTCTGCAGCACCACTATTTTGAAGGCAAGTTTGAAACGTATCTGGATAAAATTCAGAAGGTATTGGTCTCCTCAGGGGATCTTTCGCGGGCCATCCTGTCGAAACCAGAGGAGCGCGATGAGCCTCGTATCCTCGAGGCCCTCGGGTGGGTTTCATTCCTCTCAAGTCCTATCCCTAGTGCTCTCATCGATACGGGCGAGCTGTCAGTGAGCAATGACAAACCGATTATCGTCAGCTTTACAAGCTCTGGCCTTCAGTGCACACTATGCCATGCGAAGATCTCTCTCGCGCTCTATTGTTGTCTGCAGTGTGAGGAATATATTTGCTGCGGAAAGTGCGCCATCAACGATAATCACAAGCCCGGCCATCAGCTTATACCTTTTATAGTCAATGTTATTGAGTGCAAGAAAGATGGAAGCGGCTGCGCGGTGCTTTGCCATCCCTGCTCGATTTTAGACGTCCACGCGCTCGAGACCATTGAAATGCAAGCGAACTTCCCGGTTGGGGTGCTTTCCGGCATGGTAAACAACACACGATCTCTGGAACGATCTCTTGTGCATAGTATGTCCTTTAATCCTTCGAGTATTAACGGGATTAACATCTCCAGCCAAGCCATGTTGGATACCAGCTACGCGACGCTATTGCAAGATTCGGCCGATGACAGTTCTTCCAGCGTGAGCGTCCAAGCTTCCTCCCACTCCAAACGATTCTCCTCGATCTTCTCGGCCGACTTCCAGGAGATTTTATTCCAGAACTCCCAGAGCTCGCCCTTTTCCAAGCCTCGGTCGTCCTTTCGGGAAAGCCGCATCGGCTCCGCCAGCCTGGGGAAGAAGACCCCCGCGACGCGGCTCACCTCTCACGTCACCCCTACTACCTCGGAGAAGAGCTTCGTCTGCGCGAAGAACGAGCTCAAGGTGGTGACCCTCCCAAAGGCGCAGGATGTGGAGGACATCACCTGGCAGGAGGAGCTGGAGCGCTGCCGGCGGACCAGCCAAGCTGACCTGATGTTGTTTAACTACGGCTTTGCGGAGGTCCCGGCGGAGGTCTACACCCCGCCGCCGCTGCATGTCGTGTATTTGGACCTCTCGCAGAACGCCCTGACGTCGCTCCCGAAGGAGTTGAGCTGCATGGTCCACCTACGCAAGCTGCTGGTGTCGTATAACAAACTCACGGTCTTGCCCGATACGATTGGGCATCTCACACAACTCGAGCAGATCGATGCGAGCCATAATGTCATCGAGGATCTTCCCAGTAGTTTTGATTCGCTGGTTAACCTTCAGTCGATCGCGATGGATTACAACAACTTTTGCGAGATTCCATCTTCTATTTTGAGGATCCATTCGGCTCATTCGCGATCGGTACCGCAGCCTTCTTCAGAGCTCATCGTATCCTTTGCGAAAACCATTCCAGGAAACGCCGATTCACCCGCGCTGAAGGTTCTTTACCTCGCAGCGAACGACCGCATCACTACATGGCCGGAGATCGATCAATTTAGACGCTTCGATGCGCTTACCATTGCCCTGGACAATGAACCCACGCTCTACCGTTCCTACCTAACCCAAGAATTGGGAAGCAAGCTTCCAAACATTACTATCAACTGGAATAAGATCTACCCTGATGAAATTGTTCGCCATATCTATTGTGGAAGTCTTCGCTCGGCGCAATCACAAATGGTTTACCGCAAGCTAGATATTTCCTACGTGTTGACGATTGGCCGCGGTTTGATGCCGGTTCCCCCAGAAGGAGGAAGGCATAAAGTTATTGTTGTTGATGATATTCCAGGTGCGGATATCTCATATTCCTTCCAAGAGGCAGCAGAATTTATTAATGAAAGCCTTAAAAAAGGGAAAGGCTGTTTGGTGCACTGCTTTGCGGGTTTATCCCGTTCGGCGACAATAGTAATTGCGTATTTGATGTCTGAGAAGAAGATGCGGATGGACGATGCTTACATGTTGACAAAAAAAGGGCGACCGGCAATTTTTCCGAATAAGAGCTTCCTTGAGCAATTGATTGAGCTTGATAAGCGGCTCTATCCAAATGCAAGTCGTCCGCTTAATATTGAGCAGCTAGAGCGCCCTATTGAATCTTAGGAAAAAAAAAGGGTGATATATATATATTTATATAAAGCCATATATTCAGCCAAGTTCTTGTGTGGCATGGTCTTTATATATCTACAGCTGTGTAGATTTAGTTTCTCTCTGTGTGTCCTTATTACATCATTGTTATTCAGGGTTTTTTTGGGGGTCGCAATATTACGTCTCGCTTTTCTTTGTCATTATCAAATTATTATTTCTTCAAATATGTTCTGTGTATATCAGATTTAATTTGAGATATTTAAATTTGGTATATTTTACTTCGTTCTATTAAAATGTTTAACAATCTTAATGACAATCACCCATGATATAAATTATTGATGAACAGCTGACTATGAATATAAATATATATATATTTACTTTGCACCGAAACATACAACTCTTTTTGATGAGAACTTTATCTGAAATGACTTGTAAGTTATTCTTAAATTTCCTTCAAACACTAACACATGTATACAAATATATAGTTCTATTAATGTAAATATAACTTCAAACTGCCAGATTTTTCTTAGAAATAAACCTGGTTTATCCCTAACCCTCGAGATGTCTTTTCGCGACATTACTTGAGTGTAAAAATTTTCTTTTCCTCGTTAAGATTCACTTTAACACTCAAGAGGGGTTTGCTGAGGATGAATGCTTTGTAAAATATGGAATTGTGAATTTCTTTTTTTAAACACTAAGCAGTTGAATATATAATTTACAAATCTACTTTATTTGTTATTAGTATTCGTTTTCTATACACACAAGAAAATAAAGCATTGTGCGTATGATCGTGTTTTTCCGACTGTTTACGGTCGTTATTTATTCTGATACCGAACACTTTCAGGAACTTATTCTCTTAATTGAAGACAGACAACGATTTCGCTTCTATGAAGATGTAAGAAATTAATTTATTCAGTTATACAAGTTTGTAATGGATTTTATTTTTCATACACTTACGACATTTTTCACTATTTTGAGTAATAGTAGTTCTTGCATATATTTGATGGCTGTGCAAACAATTTAATGAAACCTTATTACGATATTTCGACATACGTACTTATACTTATGTTCAGATTTATTTATTTATTTGGAATAGAAATAAAAACCATTCCCCGACTAATGAATAAACTTTTGCATTTTTTTAGTTTGAAGATCATGCTCTTTGATTCTTCTTCAATACACCATCCTTCTCTTTTCTCTACACTCAGCACCAAAGGAATATTGTTTAGCGTAGGATTCTTATTTTTTTTGTTGTTGCATTCTTTTATAATCGCCCCAACAACGCTACCGAATGTCTTCTGATTTTCACGTAGGATTGCCGTGGTCGACCGATAACTCGCCTATGGATGTCCTATCCTACGATATCGCGTTACAGCAACTTCTCGATGCGCACGTCGTGTCCGAGGACGGCCTGATGGATTACGCCCTCAGCCAAGCCCTGCGCGGGCTGTGTTTTGCCGTCAAAAGTGCCTCGCGTCCCCTTTCCCAGGTGCTGGGCCCGACCCCCCAGCCCACCCCTAACGCGCCGCACGCCGCGGTGGTGTGGGTGGGGGGCTGCGAGGCCGTTTTGGATGCTATGTGCAGGTCCGCCGTTGCGGAGCCCCAGTACCTGCCGACGGTGGCCTATCTCTCAAAGCGCCTGTTGTGTGACACGGCCTCCGACTTCGGGGAGGGGAATGAGCGGCCGTCCTGCACGGTGGAGTGGACACAGGGGCTTCTGTTACAGACCGCGGTAGCGGATTCGAACGAGGAAAAGGACACCCTTTCCCCCGACAGGGCTGGACAACGCCGGAAGGAGTCGTACTTTTCATCGCGCTTTAGCACCGACCGACGAGTACAGCTCGGTTATCTGTGGATGCTGACGGGAACGCTTCGGCTAATCGCCACGGACCCCATCCAACACTCACACCTTTTTACCAATCACCTAACCCTCGTCAGAGGCATCGTGGAAGGTGTCTTTTCACGCATTTCGACCCTTGCGGATGCGAAAGAGTGTGAAAATTCGATTACCCTGGTGGATCCTCTCAGCGATGGTGGTGCAATTATCACCGAGGACATCTCTGATCCGTTAACGCTTCCCGACGTTAGCGCCGCGCTTCCGTCTAGGTTGACGGTCGAAGCGAATCATTTTATCATCCACTGTGTGCATTGGCTTTGCACGGATGTGTTAACCGTCTATCAGTCTATGCAAAGTGGCAATCAGAAGACGCGGAAAGTGCTCGATCGAGATGCCCCTTTGATGATTTGGAAGACGGTAACGTTAACGCGAAATGCCTTACGGCGGGGTCTTGCTTGGATTCAATCAGAAATGCAATCGATTTGGCTGAAGGAGGCCGCTACGGCATCCTCCACAAAAGATGTCAAACCTACACGAAAGGTTTTATCCTCGAATGTGTACTCCGTCGGATCGGATCCTGCGGCGTGCGCTCTTCTCAATCAGGTTTCTCACCACCTCGAGAGTACCATCACGAATATGATAAAAACACAAGAGAAGTTGAACTATGCGCGAACGGGCGCCACCAGGCGTTATGGTAAGGCTTCTAAAGATTACACCCAGCTCACTGAGATGATGTGGGTGAATACAATTCAAGTATGCTTTATGCTCCAGAGTCTAACGCGATCATGGATGGTGACTCACGGCGGGATGGGAATCACCGCCGTGGATTCCAGCTTCGTGTTGGGATCCAATAAAGACATCCTGGGGTATATTGGAAGCTGTATTTCTTTGATTCCATCTCTCGAGGGCCGCAGCGATGACAAAGTCGCCCTCACACAGGCCTCGCACGTCCTTCTATCCGCGCTCATCGCGCTGGTAGCGTCGGCACCGCTGATGTCTATGCAGGCGAATTTATGGATGTCGGACCCAGATTGTACGCGGCAAATCCACGAGATTCTCGTTCAGCGCGCCTTGCGAGGGAAGGATGAGAAGCTTCAGCAGATGGCAGCGCTTTTGGCGGGATCGATCCTGCGCAGCACCTCCCCGACAACGGACCTTTCCCTGCAGCTCACATCGGAGGTGTCGAATCAGCTGCTGGATGTCCTTTCCGAAACTCGAGACGCGGCCTCGCACTACGCGATTGAGATGCTTACGATTGCGGTCGTACGAAAACCGCACTCCCTTATTCCCTCGCTCTTTAAGTTGTTAAAAAGTGGGGGCCCGCAAACGCGTCGGAATGTACTGGATGTCCTTTCGGCCCTTCCCAACCTTTCCTCATCACGAGCTTTGCATGGATTAAAAAATATGGAAATTGGTAGGGAAGAGAAAAAGGAGGAGGAGGGGAAGCATGCTTTAGTGGATTTAAGAACCTCCGCCATCTTGTTTTTGCCAGGAGAAGAGAATATGCGAGAAGTGCTTCGGCTGCTGGCGGAGAACCTTCTTTCGCACCTTAACGATAACGATCTTTTAATTCGCATGGAGAGTGCGTCTTTATTTGGAAAAGTATGGCCCGAGGACGTCCTGCAGCCGCTGCTAACCCTATTTTTGAACTCAGATTCCACGGGGAGGAGGCAATCCGCGATAAAATCTAGCCTAAAAGCGGTCTTACTATCCCACACCGACGATGCGAGTGTTCTGTTGATGTTGATGCAAGAGGCATTTTGTGTCTTTCGGGAGAAGGTTTTAGCTCAGTTGACCTCTTTAAATGTGGATGCGTCTTCTTCGTCGACAAACAGCTTCCCTTTTCTTTCATATGAGCGAAAGAAAAAAGTGCCTACTACTCCTGGGGATATTCTCAACCACTCACTTCTTTATACCTTTGGCACACTTCAAAACGTTGAAGACACTGAGACGGCCCCCAGCACGAATACTGACGAATTTGTTATTCCGCCAGTGCCATCTAGCAGAAAAAAAGAGGGGTCAATTCAAGCATTGATAAAAAGCCTTTGCAAAGATTGGGCGGCATCGGTGAAGGAGTGGAGGAGTGAGACTCATCTTGAGCCTTTGCTAGTGTTTTTAAAACAACTCGACCACTCTCCAAAAGGACCGCAAAAGTGGTTTTTGGATCAGATACTACCATTTTTCGAGTATTTGACAACTTCCTGGAAAAGTTCCCCAAGGGAGGGAAAGAATTTCGTATTTCCCAACCATGTTATGATACAGGCCCTTTACAACATTTTTTTCAGAGCGGGTGCTGAGGAAAAAGGCGGTCAAAAGTTGTCAACGAACACTAACGCTGATGAAAAGATTGATCATTCATCGTCATTGGATGAGGAACCTTCTTGGGTGCATCAAATGAGAAAGTTTATGGAAGTATTCTTAGAGTTTACAGATACGCCTTTTCCGGTGCTTGATGAATACCATAAGGTCCTGCTACCTCTTATTATCTTAGGTAACTGCTCGTGTAGGTTTATTACCCCTTCAGACTCTTTAGCAAGTTCTTCCGTGGCGAGCAGACACGATTACGACGTTCAGGGGGAATCTATTCAGGCCATTACACACAAAATATGGTGTGCACTTTGGGATGCACTTACCGATGATGTTGGTATTTATCTTCGGATAATACATCATGATGTCACGATATTATTTCTGAGAGCAATCTGCAGCTACCCGGCCATTGAATTATTTCGCGAACTTCAAATAAGAACTAGAAACGGAGAAATCTTTCTAAACCATTTTTTCTATCGAATCCTTCTCTTTGGCATTTCTTATTACACTAATGAATTTATCGCTCTGTTGGCTTCGCATCCCATTTCACTTGAAGAGGGAAATCCTCCCTCTAACGAAAATAACGCGCCAGGTTGGACCCGAGATCGTAAGGACGATGTTATCGACAGGGAAAAAGTGGTTTACGATGACATGAAGTCATGCGTGGATACTACAGATATATTGCCACTTATAACGCAAAACTTTGTATTAAACCAGATAAAGCAGAACCATGGAGGATCAATGGGTTATTACTTAAATTTTTACTTAAGTAGGATTAATGATCACATGGGTTCAAGCGCAACCGAAGTATATGGACTGCTAACGCTAGCGTACTTCTTAGATAATACGCTATTAGAGAAGGCGTGGTCTGTCTGTGCAATTTACTCGTATAATCCACTAAAGGAGCTAGAGGATTGTAATCGAAATGAATGCCAAACGAAAAGCCGCAAAAAGGGAAAAATTTCCTCATCACCAAGCAATGATGCCACTTCTCAGGAAGTGCTCATCCAACTTAAGAAGAAGTTTGAACTTTGTATAAATACTATCTCTAAAGGTCTCGATTACTTGATAGCTTCTGAACGAACTAATGGTAAACTTCTCTTGAGTTGGTTTAAGTGCTATCTCCGACCGTTGATTGAGTTATCTAACGCGGTGTGCGCATCGAATAAGAGAAAAGAGAAGTCTGATTACATCGAAGCGATTAATTGTACCAGCTTGATATTTAAGGCTCTCATTATGACCGATAGTTATTATAAAAAAAAATTGTCGCCATTGTCAAGAATCGCCGCCATCACGAGCGGATCCTCTAATCCATCTTCAACCTTAGTAGGGTGTGATTTTGTGCCTCAGGACTACCCATTTTTTAAGGGAAATCTCACGTTATTTTTATCTTTACTTCCTTGCGAGGATCTAGAGGCTTTGCCGAACTTTGCCTTAGGCTGCGTGAAGTTCAGGAAGTCTCCAGACCTCCAGAAAGTAGGATTACGGATTCTTTTCATCCTGATCACACAAGCATATGATAGTCTTACTAATGTGCGAACTGAGGGTAATCAAAGCATTTTAACGATGACAATGTCAGAGCTGTGTGAGTTTAAGTATACTCATCCAGACAAAGAGACAAGAACACTTGCGGAGAGGTTAGTGGATGGTATTGGGTATCAAAGAGGTCTATAGAATATCTTTTGATTATTTTTACCCCATCCACGCTGTTTACTTGGCTTTACTGTGTGCTTTCCATAAAAGGCCCAAATGGATATATATATATTCATTTTTATAAATATTTCTAAATACCTTCAATAATTTCTAAAATAGTGAATTATATTTCTTTTATATACTCTATCCGAGGTTACACTATACTAGCAAAAGAAAGTCTATTATTTAAATTTATATTGCACAAGTTTTCGAATGTTCGAAATGAATCGCTGCTTAGTATTTACTTCTTAATATTTGAAGGGATTTTCAGATGCCAATATAAAAGTAACGACAAGGGATGGGGTTGAGGGCAGTAATTTTGGCAATTATTTTCCATTCATCATATTTTTTTCAGAGATATCGTGAGACTCTAAGAGCTAGGATTAAGCTTTCAGTGGTCTATATTTTACTCATCATAAACATTTTTCTATTACTTTATCGGTGTTAAATCCTGTTTAGTTGATTTACTGGCTATCAGAAACGCAGAATATCATCCGACGAGACTTTCCTACACCAATCTGTTTCGACTTTTCTTGTGGTCCTCCTTCATTCCTAGGTTTTGCTATTTTAAAAATACAATACTTCATTCCTTTTCTTCGATCACACTTTTCAATATCCTTACCACGGGAAGCTGAAGCTGTGAAAACGAACCAACAAAGCAAGAACGACCCTGTGGTCTCTATTAAATCAATCCACATGAGCTGATTCCATGTCCATTTGGTATGTCTTACGGAGTTCCTTAAAATCAAATGTTGACCTGCAAAAGACACTTGTTGGTGGGCAATGTTTTCGTTGGCATCGAACCTCGCGAAATAGCTTTGTGGGTACCGTCCATCGCCGTGTTTATGAGCTGCGCCGTGTAATAAACTCAACTGAGGGCCATGCGCATTCCATCAACCGTGATCAGGACTTGAATGGATTTGCAGAAGCTGCGTGTAGGGTTGAAAATAGCCGGAGTTGGATTGAATATCGAAGGCTTTACCCTTTCCCCCTGCCGTCAAAGCCGGAGGGCAGGAAACTAACCAAAGGTACAACTTCCAGCGCAAAGGGCGAACCCTCAGGTTTAGCCAACCCTGCCGAAGTGCAGGTGAACGATGAGGATGAGGCGTTTCTGTCGTATTACCTCTCGCTCGACGTGGATATGCCGGCTCTTTGGCGGCGGTGGACGAGCGGGAACCCGATGAAGCGCCATCCCCTTGTTTCCCACCTCATTGCCTCCTCTTTAGGGGCGAATCCCGGCACTAACGACGGCCGCCAACCCCCCATAAACCCTCAATCGGTGCGAACGGCGGACGCGATGCCGTTTATTTTGGAATCCCCGGTTCGGGTTCTACGGCAGGACCTCCACGAGACCCTCTTTGCCTTCCTGTGCTCGCAGAACAACCACATCCCGCGCATCACGGCGATGCTCGACAGGCTCGCGGCGCACTACGGAGATTATTTGTGCAGTTTGGATTGCCAAACAGGGGAGGTCTGCGGGGGGAAAAAGCGCCCTCGCGAGGCGGATCCCGCGGGATCCCCGGCGCTTTCCCCCGAAGGGCGACCCCGCCACGGATGGCGTGGGGCGCTGGCGGC